CTGGACTCAGCTACCTGGGAGGACGTAGTAACCTGACCTGACTCTTCCACCTGGTGGGACGCAGTGTGTAGAACGAAAAGACCTGAGTGAGGCTCCCTGGTGAACGTGGAAAGAACTGCTCCGGTAGACCATGTAGGTATGGCACGCCTTTATATCAAGCCAATTGTTGGATACGAAGCAGACTCATAGCGAGGCAACACCGAGTCAACCGAGCTACAGTGAAGCGGTTGATAAAAAGGGACAACAACGAGAGGTTAAGCGAAGGTCAAAGGTCAGCGACCTTTGACTCGCCGAAAACAGCACGACAGCAAGGACAAATAACTGACTCGCTATTGAGCAGTTACCCGAGTCGTCGCTGTATCGAACCGCAACAGCAGTTACAACTGTAGTTAGAAGAACCTTTCGTAATCCTTGTACTCATATAAAAGCTTTGTATTTTTATATTATACTCAACTCGTCTTGTTCTCACATACCGGTGCAAGGTGGTTCAACTCAATATTATTAAGACGCTTCCGCTAGTACATTATCATCACTTCATCCTAAGCCTTAGTCCTTAAAAACGATCCTAAGGGCTATCTCAGTCCAACAAAAGCTTGACATTTCCTATGTTGTGTATGTTTGGTAAGGGATACCGTATATCGTACACAGCTATGTACAAGCTCGTTTCTTCATCTCTTATTACGCGTAGGAGCTCGGGTCAACACTGACATGTGGCATATACAGTACATATTTTCTACACAATATCATCATAGGTAAATCCAATTCAACCTATAAACCTCCTACACAAAATAAAGCACGACCCACAAGTCCATTCCTACAGCCAGCTAACCTGGCTTCTTCAGGTACCTATGGACTCATCTCTCACAGCTGCCAGAGTGCTCGTAGAGTGCCTCTGGCGTGCTGGCAGGCTACAGACTGCCATGGCCACGACTCGCAAGCAGTGCGCCATGGGCTGGTACTGCTCCGTGAGCGGCGTGGCGGTGCGCGAAAAAGGTTTCGCCTCGGGGCGGATCCAGCCACAGATCTACTTTCATGCAGCTGGGGGGGTGGGGAGTGGGGCGAGGGAGAACAAGGGAGTGAGTGGGAGAGCAAGAGAATGAGCACGGCAGGAAGGACAGTGCACACGCTTGGGATGGGTGGCAAGCAGGTTGTTTTGAAGGATGGGGACAGCACCTGGAGAGAGTGTCTGGGCCCGGGACCGACGCTGCAGCCGGGTGCCATCCGGGCAGCGAATGGCAATGCAACGGCTGGCAGGAGCGCGCCCTGATGGACCTCTGGTAACTCAACCTCCTCCGCTGCCCCTCCTACCCACGCCCCTTGTTGCTCCTGACCCTCTACCGCACGAGAGGCATCGTCCTTGCCTGGGCCCATGGCCCCACCTTGCTCCCTCCCCTCAGTGTCTCTGTGTGCCCCTCTATGGAAGCCGCCAGCACCATGGTAGCTGCTCCTCCTCATCCTCCTCGCCGCTCCCCATTGCTCCCACCCCCGCGCCCACATCCCCCTCTATAACACATCCCGCCGCTTCTTGGTTGGCCGCACCTCCCCACCTTCACTGAGTGCGCCTCCCACGGGGTCACGGACGATGAATGGCAAGAGGTCCTGTCGGCCGTGCACACACACATGCACACACACATGCACACACACACGCACACAGGCATGCATGTATGCACACAAGCAGGCAGGCACGGAGGCAAAAAGACATGCACACAGGCACAAACGCAGGCAGACATGCAGTCAGGCCAAGTGCAGAGAAGGGTTCCGCAAGACATGTGAGGATGCACGGAAAGGGCGATGCGATACCATTTCTTGCACACAAGTGCGTGCTGGAACTGGCCGTCCAATCGACCAATGAGATGGAGGATAATTGTGAGAAAATCGTCTGATAACCATCCGATCAACGATCTGGTAAGTGTTGAGAGTGCCCATGTTACGAGTGCAATTGAGCGAGCGAGCGAGAATTGCACTATCGAAGCAAAACAGTACAATGAGCGAAGGAATGAGCGAAAGCTAAATATCGAGGGCCACAGTGGTAACGGTAACGAACTGTGGGTGGTGCGCTATGGGCCTAGGACTGAGGTTGGGACTGAGGTCGGGAAGTGTCGAAGCGGAGGCCCGGAGCGCGGGTTACCAGCCGAGCCATGAGTTGGGGTGCGACAGGCGAGGTGGCAGGAAATAGTCGAGGCGAATGTCACGAGTGGTAACGGTGGCGAGTGTGGCGAGTACAGTGATGTACGCGCTAAGCAGGGATGTGGCGTAAGGAAATAGAAATTTCCTTACACTCCCCCCCCCCTTAAGGAGGCCCTCCTTATGAGAGTGCGTGTACATCCTGGAAATTGCGGCTGCGCAGATAGTCGGTGAGGATGGGGTGGTTTTCAATCTTGTCCAGGGGAACCCAGTTGTCTTCAGTTGGGGTGCGGTCTTTCCATCGAATCAGGAACTCGATCCTGCAAGCTCCACGCGGGTCATGAACTCGGTGGCTTAGTATCTTCTCGGGTGTGATTACTGGCTCGGTGGGCGGTCGTGTCATGCTGGCTGGTCGGTGGCGAGGCAATTGGCTTATGGATGGTACATAAGGGCGGAGGAGGCTGACGTGGAATGACGGGCTGACATACCAGTCAGCGGGGAGGAGGAGGTGGGCAGTAACGGGTGTGATCATGTGGCTGATGCGAAATGGCCCGCAATATCGAGGGCGGAGTTTTGGGGTAATGGGCAGGCAGAGGTTTTGAGTGTCGAGCAGTACTAAGTCGTCGGGTTGGTAAGTGACGGGACAGCGGTGGCGGTCGGCGTTGCGTTTAGCGATTACGTTCTATTTTTTTATCGCGTCTGCTCCCTAAGTCCGTGCTGCCTATAAAATCTCGGCAATCTGTTGCGCACGTGGTACAAGATTGTCGGGATTCGGGGTCATGGGTACTGTGGGGTCTTGTCCGTAGTTCAGATAAAAAGGTGACTGTTGGGTCATGGCGGATGGCGAGTTGTTGTGCGCGAACTCAATGAGTGGCAGTTGCTGTTCCCACGTGCCCGGATCGTCGCACGTGGCTCGGATAAGCTGCTCCATGGTCTGGTTTGTCCGTTTTGTCGGTCTCGGGGTGGTACGAAGAATTGAACTGTAGTCGCGTGCCGAACTGCTGCCACAGGTTCCGCCAGAAGTTGCTGGTGAATTTCGTATCCCTGCCGCTAATGATTGCTGCTGGTGTCCCGTGTAATCGAACGATAGTGGCGATGAAGAGCCGAGCTGTTTCTTCTACTGAGATAGATTTCTTGCATGCTGCGAAATGCGCCATCTTTGTCAGCCGATCGACGACGACCAGGATCGCGTCGTTCCCACTTGCCCATGTCGGTAACCCCGTGACGAAGTCCATCGTCACCTGCTGCCAAGCACGCTCTGGGGGTGGTATCGGCTGCAACTGTCCTGCCGGCCGCTTCCGTGATGATTTCATATGTTGGCAGGTGGGACACGATGCCACGTGTCGCTGTACGTCGGTCAACATTACGGGCCAGTAGTAATACCGCTGCAGCTGCTGCCGTGTTTTTTCTACCCAAAATTGTCAGAATCACTAGGCAAGAATGGATGAACTAGCAGAAGTTTGGGTACAAATATGAAACCCTAGTTGGGGTTGTACCCCATATTGGCTACCCCACTACAGCCTACAAGCATAATACAGTTTAACACACCCCCATAGGCAAAGTGGGGGAGAACAAAGGGTCACAAGACCAGTCCAGCAAAGCAAAGCAAAGCCCAGGGTGGATCACAACGTCACCACACTCCGAGCACAAGTAAAGGCCACAAGGCCAGTTCACATGCAGTGCTAGATATAGTACAAGACAAGCAACACAGTGATCAAAACCTAGCAAGCAAGCAACAAGATATATATAAAGTACAGTACAAAGAATGTCAAGCAGTGAGCAAGTGAGGAAACGTGGACACAAGGCCTAAAGAAGTACAGTGCCGCTGATGATCACTAGGCGGGAGCGCCTTGGTGAAGATATCAGCAGTGTTGGCCTTCGAGTCCACGTACACAAGCCGAAGCTGACCGCGCTGCTGAAGCTCTCGAGCAAGAAAGTAGCGAAGAGCAATGTGCTTCGTCCTGTGCTCCAGTCTGTGCTCCTGACACAAGGCAAGAGCCGCCTTGTTGTCACCGTACAGAACTGGCGGAGAACTAGGCCGCTCTCCCAAGTCAGTCAGCAGGTAGGTGAGCCAGCGTAACTCCTGTGCAGCCATGGCTGTGGCGTAGATCTCAGCCTCACAACTAGAGCCGAGAACAGAGGAAGAGCGGGTGGACCGCCACGAGACAGAACCAGAGCCAAGGCTGAAGGTGTAACCCTGTGACGACCGCTGCGTAGCCAGGTCGTCCACCCAAGAGGCGTCCGAGTGACCAGTGAGGACAACTCTGTCGCGTCCTCCAAGCACCAGCCCCATGCCTGATGTACTGCACAAGTAACGCAGCACCCTCTTAGCAGCCTCCCAGTGCTCTCGCCTGTGTCTCCCAGGCGCAACGTAACGAGCAAGGATGCTAAGAGGGTACGCAAGGTCAGGTCGCGTGCAAGTCATCAGGTACATGAGGCAGCCTACAAGCTCTGGGTACGGGCCACTCGGCTCTACGGACTCGTCCGAAGGTGGAGCTGAGAGTGAGTGGCTGGTAGCCAGAGGTGTGGCCTGTGGTGAGGAGAACTGGAAGCCGAAGCGCTGAAGGACCTGCTGCACCATGTGTGACTGAGTCAGGGTGATGGTGCGACGGGCTCTGTCCCGGGTGATCTGCAAGCCAAGGTAGCTACGCAGTTCACCCAGGTCAGTGCAGGTGTGTCTCTTCTGCAGCTCCGACTTCACACGAGCGAGTGCCTCAGTGTCAGCAGTAGCAAAGACCAAGTCGTCGACGTACACGAGGATGTAGAACGGCGGCAGCGACGTGTCAGTGCGCAGAAACAGCGACGGGTCAGCAGTAGACGGCGCGAACCCAAGAGCCGCAAGAGTAGTCCTCAGTGTGTCGTGCCACTCACGTGGCGCCTGGCGGAGACCGTAGACTGGCCGGCGGAGACTCCACTGGGTACCAGGGGGAAACGACCCAGTAAAGCCAGGTGGGCGGCGCAGCCAGATCTCCTCATGCAGGCTGCCCTGCAGGAACGCTGTGCTGAAGTCAAGAGAGTGAAGCTCGTAGTCACGCTGAGCAGCAACATGCAGCAGAACCCGAAGAGTGGTCATCTTCGGGGTGGGGGAGAAGGTCTGGAAGAAGTCGACCCCCTGACGCTGACTGAAGCCTCTAGCAACGTAACGAGCCTTGAAGACAGGCGGAGAACCTGGCGGCCGCTTCACCCTGAAAATCCACATGCCATCGACGATGTTCGCCCCAGGAGGGGGAACCTCGTCGACGTAGGTGCCTGTGGATTTCCAGGATGCCATCTCTGCGTCCATGGCTGTCTGCCACTGAGAGGAGTAGGGACCCGAGATCGCCTCTGCGTAAGTGCGCGGAGTGGGGATGTCTAGTGCATCCGGGTCTCCCTCAGGGGCAAGCAACCAGGCCACGAGATGAGGTACAGCAGCCGCAAGAGAGTCAAAGTCCTCCTGCCTGTCCTCAAGGACGTCCGTGCCAAGAGCACACTCACCCCCGACGGACGGAGGACAGACAGACGCAGACTCTGACTCAGCGACAAGGCTAGCAGCGTAGTCTAGACGACAGGCAGCAGCAAAGTCAACCAACTCAGCGACCAGAGCAGACGCAGCCGAGGACTCAAAGGTGGGGTCAGTGACAACAGTAGCAAGGAGACGCGTGACTGTAGGGTGCTCAGCGCGATACCGGTCAGACTCAGGGTCCGGAACGGCAGGCAAAGAGGACGCAGGAGGAGACGGTAGAGGGACACGCCGAGGAGCAGTAGAGGGACGCAGAGTCATGTAGTGAGTGCCTGGGACAGGAGGAGGACGCTCACGACGGACACGACTACCAGTGCGAGCAGGACGAACAGGCGACGCAGGACGAGACTCAGGCTCACGACGCTCTGTAAGACCTCCTGTGGGACCAGTATAAGGAGAGGGAGCAGGGAGAGGCGAGGCAGGCGGTAACTGTGACTGCGGCTGGACAGGCGGAGGACACTCTACGGAGGGAGGAGGACAAGGAGGAGGAGCCTGCCCAAGAACCTGCTGAAGGAGCGGTACGAAGTACGGTCGCGGCCGCGCAGCGTCTCCAGAAGCAGAAGGGACTCCAGCGGCCGGGTCCACAGCACCAGCAGCAGCTCCACCGGCCGGGTCCCCAGCTCCAGCAGCAGCTCCACCGTCCGACTCCTCAGCACCAGCAGTAGCTCCACCAGGTGGGTCCGCAGCACCAGCCGCAGCGCCACCCCCAGAGTCGGCAGCTCCAACTCCGCTAGCACCGCCAGCGCCAGAGTCCCCAGCTCCAGCAGCTCCAGTCGCAGTGCTCCCAGAACAGCCAGTCCCGGCAGCTCCAGTACCCCCAGTACGAGCACCCCCAGGACAACCAACTCCAGTACCCCAAACTCCAGTCGAGCCACTAGGACGGCGAAAGCGTCGGACGTACCAGTCGCGAAGCTGCTGCGGTGTGAGAGACTGCTCAGCACCCCGAACCGGAGCACCCCCAGACGCAGTAACCCGAGGCTCCGTAGGCTCAGTAGCAGCACCCCCAGGCTCAGTACCCGCAGGCTCAGTACCCGCAGGCTCAGCACCCCCAGTCGCAGCACCCCCAGGCTCAGCACCCCCAGGCGGCAAACTCTCAGGCACAGTACCCTCAGCTCCAGCACCCGTAGTCCCAGCACTCCCAGGCCCCGCACCCGTAGGCTCAGCACCCCCAGGCGCAGCACCCCCAGGCTCCGTACTCTCAGGCACCGTACCCTCAGCTCCAGCACCCTCAGTCCCAGCACCTGCAGCCCCAGCACCCCCAGGCCCAGCACCCCCAGGCTCAGTACTCCCAGCAGCACCACCCGCAGCAGCACCTGAGTCACCTGTGACCTCGACAGGCTCAGCGACGGGAGGAGGGTCTACCTGAGAGACACCTGAAGGAGCAGGACCCTGAGGGGGAAGGGGGTCTACCGGAGGGGGACCAGGAGCAAGGAAAAGCGGCGGGGGGGGGAGCGAGGCAGTGCGGTAGGGGAAGAGACGGTAAAAAGGGACCGACTCGTCAAAGGTGACATCCTGAGAGGCGAAGACCCGGCGCGAGGTGGGGTGGTAAAACTGCCAGCCAGGCGCGTCAGGGACAAAGCCAAGGAAGACACAGGGAAGCGTGCGGGAGGAGAGCTTGTCCGCGGACGTATCGCGGACAAGGGCACGAGCACCCCACACCCGGAAGCGCGACGCATCGCCAACCTCCCCCGTCCAACGCAGTGTGGGCGAGGTCTCCGGCAAGGAGACACGGGGCCAGAGGTTGAGCTGATGCGCGGCGTACCGGACAGCAAACGGCCACAGAAAATGGGGAGCCGCCGCGTGGACCAAGGAGGTACGAGCGATCTCCATGACCAGGCCAATGCGGCGCTCAGCAACCCCATTCTGCTGTGGGGAGTCCGGAAGCGTGAAGGTCTGCTCGATGCCCTCTGCCTGACAGAAGGTCCTCAGGAGATCGGAGGAAAACTCACCACCTCTGTCAGAGTGCAGACGCAGGACAGGAAGATCCGTCCGGAAACGGCGGCGGAGCTGGAGACGAACCGTGCGGATCCAAGGGATCAGAACAGCAGGGACCTCACCCTTGGTGCGCAAGGGGAAGACCGTGGTGTAACGCGAGTAGTCGTCGACAACCAGCAGAAAGTACCGCTCACCGCCCTGACCACGAACGCGGGCTGGGCCCCACACGTCCAGGTGGAGGGTCTCCAGAGGAGCCTCTGTCGGGGGGAACGAGGAGGAGTGAGGAGCGGCGCGCTGCCGCCCCTCGACGCAAGGAAGGCAAGGCGGCGCAGGCGAGGCAGGGAGGGGAGGGAGGGACCTGGGAAGACCAGACACAAGGAGGCGACGGTGCATGCCACGAAGGCGTGGCAAGGAGGGGTGACCCAGGCGGTGGTGCCAGAGAAGAGTCTGGTGCGACAGGGAACGACACTCACAGGCGTGGGCCACCAGACCTGACGCAGACACCTGACCGACAGCAGCTACCTGGGGAGACGCAGTGGTCAGTGTGTAGAGACTCGACCCCGGCCGACGGGTGAACGTAGCCAGGTGACGGCCAGTCCTGGAGCACGTGCAGATCGCCACACGCTGTCCGCCAGGGGTAAAGGTGTCAACCCACTGATCCTGGAGGACAGCGTTGCTCACCAGGTTCGTCGAGAACGAGGGGAGGTGGAAACCCGACAACGAGCCAGACGGAACCGCCGGACAAGGGAGGACAGTAGTGGACTGGGCAAGGACTGGGCCCCCAGAGGGGTCAGCCAAGGAGACTGGGACCGGTGCAGGAAGCGGTGTGAGCTCAGTACTGTCACGAAAGAAGCAACGGGAAGCACCTGAGTCAAGGGTGAAGGTGTGACAGGCCTCAGCCGGTGCGGTACCTGAGGGAGCAGTCTGTGTGGGTGCTGTACCTGAGAGAGCAGACTCGAAACCAGCCGGGACAGCACTGGGGGGAGCAAGTACAGGGGGCACCATACCAGAGAGAGCAGACTCACTAGTACCCAGGGCAGCGGGCTCTATACCTGGGTCAGGCGGCACACACAAGTAACAGTCTCCCTCGGCACTAACAGTCAATGCATACATGGCAGCAATAATAGCATCATAGTCAAGAGCAAAGACATCAACACCAGCCCTCATGAGCTCAGCCCAGCGGGGGCGCTCAACATCCGCACCCATCTCCTCACGCCAAGCGTCGTCAAGGCGGGAGAAGCAGCGGTACGGGGTGTGGAACCTCCCACACGTCTGTCCCTTGCGGTCACCTGTGCGAATGACATAAGAACAGCGGGCACTGGCCCCCGACGTCCCACGCTGAGCAAGCCACTCACGAAGCTGCTGGGTCGTCTGGGGACGCTGCTGCTGCTGGGAGCTCTGGCCCGAGCCAGTGCCTCCACTCCGACCTCCGCCGCCACCACTACCACCGCTCCGACCGGTACCGCCACCACCGCCACCACCGCCACCGCCGCCACTGCCGCCGCCGCCACTACTGCCACTGCTTCCTCCGCCGCCCCCGTCTCCACCCCCGACCCCACTCCCACCAGCGCTCCCGCCACCGCTCCCTCCAGCACCGCCTCCCCCCCCACCTCCCCCACCTCCTCCCCCAGCGCCACCACCACCACCCTTGCCCCCCTTGCCCTTGCCGGTGCGGCGCCTCCCACCAGGAGCAGAAGCAGCGCCAACAGACTCAGCACCAAGGAAGTCAACAGCAGCAGCAGCAGCAGCGTAGGAGGGAGCGAGGGGAGAGGGAGAACACCCCTCAAAGATGGGGGTGCGAGGAGCGCCACGAGCAGCACCGACAGCTACAATGCTCTTTTCGGCCGCGAGCAGGTGCTCCTCTAGGAGGGCGACTGTGAGCTCAGTGGGACAGCGAGCAAGGAAGTGGTCTCGAACTGAGCGGAGGGTGTCAGGGAGACGAGTGACTATAAAGTGGAGTGTCCAGTACAGTGGAGGGGGGTTCTTAGCGCAGAACTCGGTGGGAAGGGCGGCACGCAGGCGAGCATCACTAGTGCGCAGGTGGGTGATAAGATCGGCGACTGTAGTAAAGGTGGACAGATCGGGGAACAGGTACGGCAGCATGAGGCGGCTAAGCTCGGCTGTGGCAGGCGAGGAGTAGCGAGCGACGACAGCGTCGTACAGGGCCTTAGCTGATTTGCAGTCGCCAAAATGCTCTAGCTCAGCTAACGGCAGGTGACTGCGAATGGCTAGGCGAGCAGCTGCGTCACGAGTCTGCCAGTGGGAACGAACACTAAGCTCAGCTGTGGCAGGAGGGGCAGGCGCAGCACCAGACGCGTAGTCATAGAGCGACACATGCTCCTTGCTATCGCTCAGGAGGAACAGCTGCAGGTCATCTAGCCAAGCGGTGAAACGCACAGGGCGGCCCTCAGCATCGAACGACAGCACGCGAATGGAAGCCATAGCGACAGTGTGACAGAGTAACGCAAGCTGCCGCAGCAGGGGAAGGCGACTGTGCACGGATAGAGAGCAGCGGGCGAGGCTGGCGCTACGGGCAGGCGGCGCTGCAAGCGGTCAGTGCGACGGGAGGGCGACGCTGCGAGCGGGCAGCGCGGCGGACGGGCCGGGAAGCGGGCAGCGCGGCGGGCAGGCGGCGCTGCAAGCGGGCAGCACGGCGGGCGGGCGACGCTGCGCGGCGAGCAGCGGGGCGAGCGGGCTGCGATGCGAGCGGGCTGCGAGGCGGGCGGGCCGCGAAGCGGGCAGCGAGCGGGCGGGCGGGCTGCGTAGTGAGCGGGTCGCGACGCGGGCAGCGAGCGAGCGGGCTGCGTAGCGAGCGGGCCGCGAAGCGGGCAGCGAGCGAGCGGGCCGCGAAGCGGGCAGCGAGCGGGCGGGCGGGCTGCGTAGTGAGCGGGCCGCGAAGCGGGCAGCGAGCGGGCGGGCGGGCTGCGAGCGGGCGGCTCGGTGAGGGGCGCGCGAGGGCGCTAGTGAGGGGCGCGCGAGGGCGCTAGCAAGGGGCGCGCGAGGGCGCTAACGAAGGGGCGCGCGAGGGCGCTAACGAGGGTGCGCGCGAGGGCGCTAACGAGGGGCGCGCGAGGGCGCTAACGTGGGCGCACGAGGGCGCTACGAGGCTAGGGCACGGGGTAGCGTGGTAACCGCATGCGAGCGGTGGTGGGCCCTAAAAAAAAAAACGGTCGGTAGGTCCTAGGGACCTCCTGCTCTGAATACCATGTCAGAATCACTAGGCAAGAATGGATGAACTAGCAGAAGTTTGGGTACAAATATGAAACCCTAGTTGGGGTTGTACCCCATATTGGCTACCCCACTACAGCCTACAAGCATAATACAGTTTAACAAAAATGTCCTGAGGTAACGTCGTCGTTTGCCTCCTGTAGTAACAACTCCCTTAATAAAGTGTACCCCGGTACCCAGAAGCGGTCGGTGACGGCTTTTACGTATTATAATCCCTTTGCTGCTGCGAACTGCTGCGAATTGCCTTCTATGAAGAACGGGTCTGTTTAATATCCATCGGTAAATAAACCTGTCAGTAGCGGGCTGGTCTGGGCGAGTAGTATGGCATGAATTTGGGCAGTGGGGCAAGTCAGTGCGTCGGCGATGTTAGATGCTTTCTTTTTGTAGGTGACCGTATAGTGGAAGTTTGACTCGAGGAAATCGAGCCAGCGAATCTGTCGTGGATTGAGATTGGGCTGTGCGTGGAGGTACTGTAGCGACTTGTGATCTGTCCGTACTGTCACGTTTGCTCCGGTCAGGCAACAACGCCAGACTTTGAACGCGTGCACGATCGCGAGCATTTCGCGGTCGTGTATCGGGTAATTCTTCTCGGGCGGATGCAGTTTTCGTGACTCGTACGCGATAGGCTGTAGGCCGTTATCGAAGTCCTGTAACAGTACAGCTCCGATGGTGATGTCGCTTGCATCCGTAACGACTTCGAAAGGGCTGTGGGGGTCGGCAATGCGCAGGACGGGTGGTGTACGGAGAACAGTTTTCAGGGCAGAGAAGGCAGCATGCTCTTTCTCCCCCCACGTAAACTCTACCCCCTTCCGTAGCAGGTCAATCAGCGGGGCAGTCAATCGTGCCATGTCGGGGACGAACCGACGGACGTAATTAACGAACCCTAAAAAACTCTGTAATTTCGTGAGGTTCGTCGGGGGACGCCACGCTTTTACCGTATCCAGCTTCTTTGGGTCAATCTCGACCCTAGCCTCCGAAATCGCGTGCCCCAGAAATTCTAACCGTTCCTAAAAAAACTCACACTTAGATCCTTTGGTTAGTAGGCAGTTTTCGTCTAAATTTTTAAATACTGATTCTAAGTCCAATAAGTGCTGCTGCTTATCGCGGCTGTAAACGAGGATGTCATCGAGGTAAACAATCACGCACGTATCTAATAGTGGTCTAAAGGCCTCGTTCATGGTCATCTGAAAAATCGCGGGTGCGTTCGTCAGTCCGAAGCGCATGACGGTGTACTCGAAGGATCCGTATCTAGTTCAAAAAGCTGTCTTGTCGCAGTCCGATGGTAACCTCCGCGTAAGTCAATCTTCGAAAACACTCGGGCTGTTCGCAGTTGATCTACCAGTTCGTCAGCGCGGGGAATCGGGTATCGCGATTTGATGGTTACTCGGTTCAGTGCTCGGTAGTTGATACACATGCGAAACCCTCCGTCTTTTTTCGGTGTGAACAGTATCGGTGCGGCGAACGTTGACGAGCTCGGTCGGATGAACTTTTTCTCTAACAGGTAATCTAACTGCTTCCTTACTTCGTCGAGCTCTGGCTGTGTCAGACTGAACTGTCGCTGTAGAGTTGGTTGTGCCCCCGGTTCCAACTCTATGCGGTGGTCGTGCGCTCGCTGAGGTGGCAGTCCCTCTGGTAAGTTATACGGGAAAATCCCCAGGTACCGTTTCAACAGTTCATGTAGTTCGGTCGGTACGGCTGCTAGAAGTTTCTGAAAATCACTCGGCGCCTCGGCTTCTCCCACTACTGCTGTATCCACTGCGTACACGTCAGCTCCAGCGGCGACAGCCCGTTTCATCGTGATGGCGTTGACGTGGACCGTTGAAGACTCGGGCAACCGCCAGCGAGGTAATTCGACCCAGTTACCGCTACTTCGCACGGTGCAGCTACCCGTCATCCAGTCAATTCGAGGGTTGTATTGTCGCAGCCAATCACGTCCCAGTAAAATGTCGTGCCCATCCAGCGTTGGCGCGAGCATTTCCTGTGTAAACCCGAAGTTCCCCCTGCAGCGGACTTTTACCCTTTCCACTTTCTCCCGTATAGCCAGAGGCGTGCCGTCAACTAAGCGTGCGTCTATCTCCGGTAAGCATCGGCTAAGTGTCAGTTGCAGTTTCCGTGCAGTCGCGGTATTAACTAAATTGTGACTTGCCCCTCCGTCTATGAAGATTTTCACTTCTGGTCCCTGTACTTTCCCGTGTATCAGTATTGGGCAATCCGTCGTTGTACCCTCCTTATTCATCCGAGCCCGATCGATGGCGTGAATCGGTACTGTGACTCGGTGAGGGTCGGTGAGGTTGGGCGAGCAGGTAATCTCATCAGTAGTTGGCCCGTTTGCTACTGACCGCTGGCGTTTCCTTGCCTCTGAGATTCCCTCTCCTGCTCTGCTCCTCGGCGCCTTAGCTCCTCTGGACATTCGCTCTTACGATGTCCCCGCCTATTGCAAGCAAAGCACCGCCCTTTGAATGGTGCGGCAGCTGCGTTAGTTGCAACGGCGTGTACAGTGGCGTGCTCGATCGGCCCCCGAGGGCGATGTCCGTAGCAGGACCCCGGCTTCGGTCGTCGTAAAATATCGATTTTCTCGGCGAGCGCTAGGATTTCATTGAAATTCGAAAGCCCGCGAAGTAGAATCTTATGCGAAATGTCTGGCTTCAGCCCTCCGACGTAACGGTCCACCCGCTCCGCCTCGTGCATGTAGCTGAACTGTTCGCAGAGAGCGAGAAAGCCGCTGGTGTAATATTGAACCGACCCGAGCTGCCGCCAAGTGCGCAGTTTCTGACGCGCCGAAATAGAAGCCGCAATTGGCTCGAAACAAGCTCGCCCGAAGCCCTGCGCACCACGCATCCCACGTGCTGTACTGGGCGGTTTCGCAGAACGAACTCCAGGTGACGGCTTGGCCCGTGGGCTCTCCCTCTTGCGACGGTGGCTCGTAGGCGCGTGGCGACGTCACGATGACTCGCCACCAGTCCATGGCGGGGCCCCTCAGCAGCGATACCGCATATCATATCTTCGCGGCATCGTCTTCGACGCAATTCGCGTCAAAGAACACGTTCATCGTGAAAATCCACGATTGAACTATCGGTCCTCCGCGTTGGCTCGGATCGAAACAGGGTGGGCGTTGCGGCTTTAGCAGCATCGGCGCCGTGACATCACTGTTGCCGCTTGGTGCTGCGAATGCCACATGCCGACGGGCTTCGCAAGGCCCTTGCGTGCTTGGTGCGGTCCTGTTTCTCTCCATACCAGGCATTGAGTGAGCGGCGCCATCACTGGCTGGGCCTGAGCGCTGTCCCACACTGTCGTGTTGCGATGGTGTGCTTGATGAGATTTTGATTGGCCCGTCCGTTTGTGCAAGTGCATTTTCAGAAGTCTGTGTTGGTGCAGGTGCGTTCGTCGCTGATTGCCGTCGAGCAGCATCGAGTTCCACCGTGAGTGTCGCAACTTCGAGAGAAGAATTCTCAAGTTGGCGCACCAGGCGATCGAGCTGCTCCTGCGTCAATGTAGCGAGCGTATATTCAGACAAGGCGAGGGTGTCGGGCAAGCTCAGCGAGAGCCTCTGTCGTGGCCATGTGTGCTTACAAAAGAACACTTCGAACGGCGGTGCTTGTTCGCTGAGAGGCGTCTATCCCCCAACCCCCCCCCCCCAAAAAATTGAGATAGTGGGGAAGCGAAGGTGTGGGTGCGGTCCGAGGGAAGATCGTAGGCTTCGAATACCAAGTGTTACGAGTGCAATTGAGCGAGCGAGCGAGAATTGCACTATCGAAGCAAAACAGTACAATGAGCGAAGGAATGAGCGAGAGCTAAATAGCGAAGGCCACAGTGGTAACGGTAACGAACTGTGGGTGGTGCGCTACGGGCCTAGGACTGAGGTTGGGAATGAGGTCAGGAAGAGTCGAAGCGGAGGCCCGGAGCGCGGGTTACCAGCCGAGCCGTGAGGTTGGGGTGCGACGGGCGAGGTGGCGGGACATAGTCGAGGCGAATGTCGCGAGTGGTAACGGTGGCGAGTGTGGCGAGTACAGTGATGTACGCGCTAAGCAGGGATGCGGCGTAAGGAAATAGAAATTTCCGTACAGTCCACAATAACAGCAAGCCTGGCCGGATCTAGCAGCACACTTTGCAGCAGCGGCGTGACGACAAAAATGCTACTGACTAGGGACGGGGTTCGTTGCTGGCAAAACCGGGCGATGTCAGGTCTGGTTACGAATGTCGCGCATGTGTCGTGC